ATCAACAAATTAAAGAGCAAATTCTTTTACCCATCTAAACAATTATGGTTACCCCTAATTATTAGGACGACTACTAAATCCAAACAATATTTTATGTACATATCCAAAGCAATTAATTAGTATATCAATTATTAAAGCCACCGAACCATCGGTCGGTTCTCTTCTACAGTCCACGACAAGCTCTGGCGGGCCCACATCACACATTGACTTGCCACGTGGCTCGTTTCTTTCTTCTCGTATGCAAATTATTATTCTCCCTGCCCTGCTGCGCTCCCTTGCATTGCAGTAGTATTGTTACACGTACACTGTTCTGAATCTCTCCCTGCCTCTAACAATGTCTAGCGAGATCTTCAGCGAGACGGCGGCGAAAAGCCTCCACCAGATATCGGAGGCGGCGGCGGCTATAAGTCAGGACGTCGACCTTATCACGGCTGCGAGGCGGAATCTCGGGTTCTTGAGGAGTGTCAGCAGGTGGCAGTGGCTTCACCAGAGAGCAACTACTGTTAAGGCGATCAGGAGGTCGGAAATCGACCCTTTTTTTTGTTTTTAAGAGAATATTAGCTGTGCGGAGAGTGAATGTGATGAGATATTGGTGGTTTTTTTTTTTTTTGCAGGTATGACGAGCTGTGGATGCCGTTGATTTCTGATTTGACGGTGGGATCAGTGACTCCGATGGTTCTGCCGCCGCTTGATGTTGAGTGGGTCTGGTTTTGTCACACCTTGAATCCTGTAAGTTGAGCTGCTCCATTTCTCACCCTAAGTTCTGTTTGGTTGCTGGGAAAAGTTTGCCTTTTGAGAAAATTTAAGAAAATAATAGGAGTGGGAGAGAAGTTCTTTTTTCTTTTATATATCTTGGTGTGGACTGTGGAGGTAGTGGAGATTGGAGACAGAAAATTTTACTTTTTCAATATTTGGGATACACAAAATTCAGAAAGTAATCATGCTTTCACTATTTATACTGTTCAGTTATTATAATTGCTTGGTTTAGTTATTTTCTTAAGCACTAAAATTTACTTTTTTCAAGTCTAGTGATTTCCACTATTTTCTTGGTAACCAAACAAAATGTGGGACTCTATTTTGTATGTACAGCTACTAATGTACTTGCAGTAGTTTGTTTTCCAAGCTATAACCTTTGTTTCCTGTGGTAACAAACAAGATGTTAGGATTTCCTAGATCCTGTTGCACTATAAGTATAAGCAACAATTTTCAGGTAAGTTATAGGCAATGCTGTGAATCAAAGTTCTCAAAATTGATTGGAAAACCAGCAATTTTCGATAAAGAAAATGAAGAGTATGCATTGATGAGATTCAGGGATGTGTGGGTTCTTTTTTGAGAAGAGGTGGATTCCTGTTCTGATGATCAAATTGCTGCAAATGAGGACCTTTTTAATGAAGTTAAGAAGAACAGGTTTCTGTATTTAAAATTTTCAGAACCATACTTGGGTGAGATGTTGTCTTTGATAGCAGCCAGACAAAGGTACAGAGGATTCTTGTCTTTGTTGCAAAGATTTAAAGATTCGTGTGTTCTTGTTTCGTGCCTACCGTGGATATTCTGCTGATGTTACTAACTCATCAGGTGAATTCTCTAAACATCACCATCCACTAAGCTTTCCTTCTGGTTTTCACCATCCACTTAGTTGGTTTCTATTATATTATTCATCCTAAATCCTTTGTGTTTCTTCTTTTGTGATGGTTAAAGTTTCAATCTTGATTTCTTCTTTTTGGTAATTAGCAATGACAAAGACTCATATTTTGCATATTTTCTGGGTGTAATTACAAATTTTGTTTATATGCTGATCAAGCACAATCTTGCCTTTTCTCTCTTTATTTATGATAAAGAAGTTATAGTGTTTAGTAAGATTAGGTAAAGTTTGAGATTAGTTTTCTGGTGAACCATTAAGATCAAAGATAAGAAATGTTTTTTTTTTTTTTGGGGGGGGCGCGGGGTGTTTACTTCCTCTTTGATTCTTTCCTTTCCTTCCTCTTTGATTCTTTCCTTTCCTTTTGTTGTTTATGACCTTTTAAGTCAGTTTTTATTATATTATTCATCTAAAACTTTCTTTGTGTTTGTTGTTTTGTAATGATTAAGGTTTCTCAACCAATATGAGTGCATTTGATTTTTCCATTACTCCCATATGTAATTAGTTAATTACTGAGTTGGCTTTTTGTTTGTTTAAGTGATTAAATAAAAAGTGTCCTTCTCTTTCTTTATACTTGAGAGAAGTCTTTAGAAAGATTAGGTAAAGTTTGAGAATAGTTTTGTAGTGAACCTTTAAAATGAAACATAGGAAAATGTTCTCTTTTTATTGTCTTACCTTATTATTGTTATTATTATTTTTGTATTGATTTCCTATTTGATTTGTCCTTTTCTTTTTGTAGTTTATCATTCTCATATTTCAGTTTTTCAATGCATAATAAACCAGAGCTACCCAACAGTATACGCAGAGGATTTGAAGGACATGTGGGATGATATGGCCAAGGTAGTGGGGGTATGGGAGACTGTCAATGTAAAAGATGTAGATTCCATCAAGAAGTTCTGGGAAAGAGCATTTGATCAACCATGTGAGAAGGCTGGAGTTGGACTAGTCATGGAATTTGAGAGGGTAGTCTCAGTGAAGCCACCAGTTTACTGGGAGGTTTTCGGATAGAGATGTCAACACCAAATACAAGTCCATGGTCCCCAGATTCCTTCTAGAGGTAACTTTAAATTCTTATCTTTTTCAATGATGCTTTTGCCTTTGGTTTAGGACCAAAGGATCCAGAAACTCTTTGGGGGAATTAAGAAAGGAAAAAGAAAGTAATGGAACAAACACTACCATACTACATTGTAGCATCTAATATCTTGTATTTCTTGTCGCCTTGTACTTTTTGCATTTGCCCCTCTTGACAAACAGATGATCTTGAATGGATGCCCTTTATTAGTTAGATCATGATTGCATAGAAAATGACATTATTCTCTTGCTTTTGGAAAACCCACTAACCATAGAAGAAGGAAAAAACACCGATGATGGCATGATGCTATCCCAATGTCCCCATGTTAATTGATGATCTGTGCCAGTAGAATTTTGATGTTATGGTTAATATGATCTGTCATAATCTTGTTTTTGTGGTCCCTAAAGTAAGAGGAAAGAAAAGGATCTTAACTTTTGTGTGTTATTATCCTAAATCTTCCATCCTGGTCTGTTGACAAAATAATAAGATAAGTCTGCTAAAAAGCATTACTGTTTTGACACTAGCTTTATGAAGCACAGAAGATCCTTCTTAGGATAAATTTTAGCAAAAGAAAGTATACATTGGATGCTTGGCCATTGAGTTCTTAAACCCTTTTTGAAGATTATTTTGATAATTTTTCTAATCTGATGGCACAATTCAATCAGAACATACTAAATGTTTATGCTCAGATAGAACATTCTGATGATTTTTTCTCCAAAAATGTATCTGATTTAAATACTTGTCAAAGATCTGGTTAGTTTTTTGGTTCTTTTACCGTGAGAAATTTATTCCAGCTACTCAAAGGTTGGCATCATGACTTACTACGACAGGTATGTGTTTTTGTGAGGCTTCTATCTGGCATAAAGGCCATAAAGGAACACATTTTTCTACGTCTCCAGATAATAAGATGTCACAGGGAGCTTAAGCTAGATAAACCAGTCTCTGACTTCACCTGTGATTCATGGAAAAAGGCCTGGCATCTTTACTGTGAGTTTGGAACAAAAGGACTTGCAGTGGAGCTTTGTGGTCACCATGGCCTCTGCCTCAGTGGAAGTAAATTGCTAGACACAAAGGCATTTTATTGGAATGATTTACTAAGAGCACCTTCTCTTACTCTAGTGAAAGAGGTTGGGCAAGTGAGCATATT